ATACACAGCCGTACAATCGAAAGAAAAAATTTTAATCTAATAAACAACTAGACATGGGTTTTTACGATGTAAAAACAAGTGTGCATTGCCATGTAGCATGTCATTGCAGCATGGCTTTACCTGCAGCAATGGACTTTGACCAAGTTCAAATGTGTTTCCTACACCAGCTTGTGCTTAAGTCAGCAGGTGTTTGTAATAAGGGTAATTGTGTGACAATATGAAGTTTGTAGAGATTTTCTGTTAAAGTTGCTGTTGCTGGGTTTCAAACCCTGATCTCCTACATGAAAGCCCATGGCACAAACCATGAGACCATTAGAGCTGTGTAGAGAATGAGGCCAGGGTTTGGTTTGTATGTGTGCAGAAAGTGGGCACATTGCCAATGTAATGGTTGTCACTAAATTGAAAAATATTACAACAATAAAGCAATATTAGGACAATATTATAGTAAAACATCAAAATACAGTTATATTAGTATTGTAAACACTGAACTATTGTGATTAAATATTATTAAACTATGGTGCAGTACTGAGTAGATACGGCAGGGGCAGTATTGGACCAATACAAGGCTCCATTGATTCCCATTATAAATTATTAAACGTTAATATTTCCAAAAATATAAGTTGTACAGGCACCAAAGGTCATAGCCATCATTTGGCACAGAAGCTTTACAAATATAAATTACAATGGCAGCTCTAGGACAAAGTATGCAGGAAGAGAAGCATGCCAAAGTGGAGATTACTTAGATGAGAAACGAATCACAATAGTGTGCATTGCACTGGCAATGCACACTGATAAGTATTTATATTTGTGTACAAGATGTTTAGATTGTCAAAAAGCCTGTGTTTTTAGGGTTATTAATGAAGTTCATGTCCTCAGACCAGTAATATTTGGGGTCACAAGTTTTTGCCATGGATATTTTCTGGGTCAGAAGATAAAAAGTTTGGGAACCACTGAGGTAAAGTACCCTCTCTACGGTTTACCAAAACTGACAAACTAAAAATAAGAACGAGGAGGTGGAGAAAGAGTGAACGCTAACGATAGAAGAGTAATGGAGGAAAGGTTAGAGGAGGGCCAAAAATGTACAAAACTCAACAGTAATTGACAAAAAGAGAAGTTCACACACCTGAGTCAGATATGAACACCTGAGGACCTGAT